TAAGGTGTGAAAATTGACCTCTAAACCCAACAAGTATGGTGTTTACCCATAGGAAATCGATACCACAGATTTTAAAAATCCCACTTTTTTACGCTAAGACATCACTATGACGTAAAATTCAAAATGGCGCCCAAGATGGTCATCATTCCATATAACTGACCAGAACGTCCTTACTATTCATGTTTGGTATAGTTTGGTGTCTATACCTAGGATTGAAGGGTAAAGCGAAGCAATCCTATTCAACCACCCGCTAGATGAAAAACGCGTGACATCATTGTGAAATCCAAGATGGTTGCCACCAAACTATATAAACTGTCACAATGAGCATCCTAGAAAGTTGATTTTGGTGTCTATACAAAGCCCATCAATTTAACGTTATGACGTCACTCGATCAGCTGAGGGAAGTCGTGAGCATTTGTATGTCACCTCAATTTGGTGGTAACTCAGTCATGGGAAGGAAGGGTAAAATAATTCAAAATGGCGTCCAAGATGGCCACCATTCAATATAAATGGCCTTAAAGCCCTTACTATTCATGCTAGGGGAACACATTTGGTGTCTTTACCTAGGTTTAACGGGTGAGACAACCTATTACAACCAACCGTTAGACATAAAATCTAAGATGGTCGCCACCAAATTATATGGTTTACAAGTTATCAATGATGGTTTGTAGGATGGTACCAAGTACATGTTGTAAACAAATGCAAACACAATATTTGTGCAAACAACAATGATTATACTCATTTCTGTAGTTATTCCATTGATTCCAGGCCTCCGATGATAAGTGTTTTTTTATACAATTGAATAGCCGGCACTCCGAATGATGACTGAAGGACGATTTAAGATAGGGTTATTAAAAGACTTGAAAAAGTAGATCAAGGCGCATTTGTGTACCATTTTAATAACTTTGCATGGGGCAAGACAGTAACAGAATCCGGAAAACCAATTAGGAAAACCATCAGAAGAAGATAGACATACCGAAGTTAATCCAGTAGACGTGGTACAAGGGTTAATCAGCGAACTGGATGTATGAGATGTGTTGTTGACGTTTGGGAAAGTAGGACGAGGGGAAATGTGTAGGGAGTGAAGTGCTGTAAAGGGATAGTTAGATGTATTATGAATGGTTAGAGTGGCTGTGGTGTTACGGTGAAATACTATGCCGCCACCGTAACAACACAGCTTTATGATTTGTTAGACAGGAGTGATGTAATGGGTGTCAACAACTGGGTATGCTGGTACCGTTGCAACGTAGCCGTGAAATATATGTTGTGGGGGGGAAGGGCGGAAACGGAAAAATATACAATGTTGACAGTATGTGCCAGGCATGAGGCTGCGCAGACCGAGCGGCAGCTCGATAGGGAGTGTGTGGGAGGGTCACCCTCATAAATTTTTTTTTTTTTAAATTTCAGTTTTCTGTAAGCAGTGAAAACACTATTTTGGCATTGTTTGCGGGGTTAAACCTAAAAATCACATTAATACACCTATTGCACGATATTGTGAAACTAGCTGACGAAGACAGCTCGGGCGGCGATTGTTCGACTCGGGGCTGCTCTGTCAGTATCTAACAAACGCATTTAGTTGGCGTACAACTTTTAAAAACCGAATGTCAGTATGGTATTTCTCACATAATTGGTTATCGCAAAAACAGAGTAAACTGAAAGCGAGTAATCTCGTCACTTGGCTTCCTATATTATTGTTTGTGGACGGTTTACTACTCAGTGATAAGCCTGCGCCGCAAAAAGAGGTCTCGCCTTTTATTATTAGTATAATGACTTCCTCATGTGCGGCAGGTTAGTTTGCTTCTAAAAACACTGTTTTCCGTTCCAAAAAAATCCAAAAGTAATTTTCTACCAGATGACCATGGTTCTTTTCACCGAGACTAGATAATTTCTCTCGGTGTAAGGATATAGCTATGGATAAGTTCATACAAGGTCAATAAATCCGCGGTCACTTCGGGTCACACTGTTGAGAAAATAAACCGATGGGTTTGTTTAGTAGCAAATCGAGCGTGAATCAACTGAGTTTGTACTGAAAAATTTTTGAGTGATATGTATGAACTGTCTTCACACATTCGGTTTATAATTAGCGATACACAGGTACAGTGGCAAGTGTTGTACTTCACAGATTGTTTACCTCCGAACTACCTCCGCACGAAATCCCCGATTTGGGTACTTGTTAAAAGAAAAAGAAATAGTACCTGTGCGCATGCCAGTAAAAAAAACCCTAAGAGTTCGCGCATAAAAATGCCCGAACGTACCAGGCGCCAGGTCATCCAGGAGACAATAAAGAAACTGGTCTATGTACAAGAGCAAGCGTTATACCTCGTACACTACTAGTCTGGTAGCTCAGTGCGGGGGGGGGGGGGCATCAAATGGGCACAAAACCAGACCTAACTTTTGGCGAATCGAGTATAAGCATATGTACAACAAGAAAAATCGCTCGATGACCGGGACTCAGTGAAACCATGTGCGTGACAGGGCCTTCGATAAAGAAAATGGATGGAAACTAGTCTGTTTTCAGAAATTAGGTTTTGTCTGACATATTTCTTTGCTCAAAGAGAGAGAGAAATGGGGTATAACGTCCACTCGACACAACTAGGTCATTTCGGGACTAACACATGGTTCAATTTTATTTCAATAATTCGCTTGCGCGTAGCGGTCTTTAACAGTGGGAGGAAACTGGAGGACCGGGAAAAAACCCACAAGGTTGGACAGGCGACCCTATTCCTTGTCAAGTACAAACGGGGAATCGAAACCACGCAAGTTGACTCAATGACAGACCTTATGATACAGTGCTAATCATTCGGCCATCCAACCCCGCTTCTTTGCTCAAACGAAAGTGTGTTTTATCTCTTCTAAATCATGTTTTCATAAATGTGCCGGGGAATAAGTAATATATATATTGAAAGAGGGATAATAAAAATACTTTCCGGTCATACATTACACGATAACCCGTATTTTAACTTTTACCCACATGAAGCCACAATAATTCCCATCCCTAAACCGGGTAAAGATCATACGAATCCTACGAACTATCGTCCCATCGCTTTAACTAGTTGTATTTGCAAAACCTATGGAGAAATTGATCAATCGAAAGCTTGTTCGGTACCTTGAGTCCAACGACCTCATTACTGACCTCCAGTGTGGATTTCGGTCCCACACGAGCACTCTTGATCATCTCGTTCGATTTGAAACGTTCGTCAAGGACGCTTTCATCAAGAAGCAACATTTAGTTGCAATATTTTTTGATCTGGAGAAAGCATATGATACTACATGGAAACATGGTATCATGCGCGACCTCCATAACCTCGGCCTACGAGGTCGCTTATCTATCTTCATTAAAAATTTCCTGGAAGATATGTCATTTAAGGTACAACTAGGATCAATATTTTCCGACCCATTCCCTCAGGAGCTGTGTGTTCCACAGGGAAGTATTTTGTCTCCGACTCTTTTTGCGATAAAAATGAATACTATCTCAGCGTGCCTTAAACCAGGTTCAAACGGCGCTCTTTATGTTGATGACTTTCAGATATGGTTCTACAGACATGCGGATAGTCGAACGTAAGTTGCAGCTTTGTTTGAATTCACTTCAACAATGGGCAACCGAAAATGGATTTCGTTGTTCGAAATCAAAGACCGTCTGCATGCGTTTCGTCAGAAACGAGGCTTGCATCTTTATCGTAAATTTTTCTTTGATGGTAACCGCCTCCCAATTGTGGATGAAACCAAATTTTTTTGGCTGATATTTGATAAGAAATTGTCATTTATCTCCCACATTAAAAGCCTCAAAAAGAAATGTCTGAAAGCCCTCAACATATTGAGAGTCTTATCAAATATCAAATACCGACTGGGGAGCAGACCGCGAGGACTTGCTCAGATTATATCGAGCATTAATAAGATCTAAACTCGATTATGGGTGTATTCTGTATGGGTCTGACCGTGAGTCTTGTCTCAAAGAGCTGGTATGGCGCCATCTCATACCGTTTCTGTGTGTCTTCCACATGCTGCTTCAATATTTACAGCTGAGCTCCATGCTCTGAAGTTCATTCATTTATCACATCTACTACAGTACATCATCTTTACTCATTTTCTGTCCTCCCACCAAGCAATTAACAATAAAAACTTTAACACCCATTCGTAGCAGATATTAATTGTCTGCTACTATCTTACGAGTTAAACAGCAAAATCGTCGTCTTTTGCTGGCTCCCCAGTCACGATGATATAGGGGGGGGGGGGGTGATCAAGCAGATTTTGCTGCCAAAGCTGCTTTAGATCTTCCCAAATCCCCCTTTTTAAATTCTATATAAGGATTTTAAACCTTCAATAAACCATTTAATTTATGGCCGTTGACAATGGTCGTGGGATCTTGCAGGCACTAACAAACTTCATCACATTAAGCCTCTTTTAGTAGATTTGCCAAACTTCTACAGAACCAACAGGAGAATCGCTCTCCTATAGGTCATACTGTTTTAACTCACATTTTCATATTAAAGCGAGAGCCTCAACCAGAATGTGAACACTTGTCAGTTAATCACATTCTGATTGAGTGCAAGATCGCATTTTTACCGTTGCCAATCATTACATCAATTGTTTCCCCAACCGGGTTTATATGGTAAAGTTTTAGACTTTTTAAAAGAGACAGGTTTTCATTATAAATTTTAATTTGTACTTAATTATTTATATGCATAAAAGATGTATTTTATCTGTGCTATCGATCTCCTGTTCGTACAAACCATACTTGTTGGGTCAATATTCATATGTTATTTAGGAATTAAATTCAAAATGGCGCCAAAAGCTTTCCTCAAGGGGTAAAGATGGGTAACTCCATGGAAGGTTAGAATTGGACCAATAGATCATAAAGAAACTAAGACCCCCCCCCCCCCAACACCCTCACTTAATTCCCTCTAACATGCTATATTACTGTTTCCCGACCACGCTATTAGGGGAATTGCAACTTGTGAGATAAATTTATATCTAGTTCAATGTTCACTTTATGTATTCAGAATAATCTCTAGACGGATTAGTTAATATGTTCACTTTATGTATTCAGAATTATCTCAAGAAGAATTAGTTAATATGTCGTTGAATGACTTCTATTTAGTTTCCACGCCAGTTATGCCAACTTTGTTCCAAACTACCAGTCCTGATCCTAAAACAAAAAGTTCCATAGTAGAACAGGCCGCTCCACTTACAACAACGGAACCGGCAACACGCGTAGTAGAAACTACCACGTCTAACACAGCTATACCAATACCTTCTACTGCTATATTTACAACAGAATGTCAGTAATATATTACCTATTATAATGTATCCTCTTTAAGGATGTTTCATAAGTATTGCTTTATATGTCGGTGCCAGATAAATTTATTAAGAAAATGCAATTCCTTAAACTAGATTAGTCGTTTATTGTTTTTTAGTTAGTTGTTCATTGAAAGTGAAGTTTTCAGTGGCATGATTATTCCAGAGAATTCCTTACGTATTTCGAATTACTAATTTCCGTGTCATTTTCTGTGATTTTCTTGAAACGCTTGTGATAACTAATATGTTTTCGAATTCTTACAAACTTTTCAAATCTGCTATATTTACAATAGAATGTCAGTAATATATACTGAGCGACATGGAAAACGCATCACTTTTTTTCCCAAATATTTTATTACTAGGTGGTTTTGTATGTATAATATTATGCAATACTATGAACTATTGTTTCACACAATGCTCCCAAACGCAAAAAATATCGGCCCGTGTGCAAAAAAAAAAAAAAAAAAAATTGCATGAGATGCACATGAAAAACCCAATATTCACGTGCAGCATTGTGTGTGAGCCCTTTAAAAACATGTTTTCAACTTAATGTGCAGTACATGAACTGTGAAACGTCAATCTGTCGTAATTTGTTGTTGGACGTGTGAAGGAATCGAGCTAGAGATGCCGAGACTTACTGAAAATCAACGGAATGAAGCCATGGGATTGTCCAGGGATGGCATGTCTACACGTGCTATTGCCAGACACTTCAATTGTCATCAGTCCACTATTGTAAGGTTGGTGGAACGTGTTCGAGTTACTGGATCAACACGTGACCGTCAACGTCCTGGTCCACAACGCGTTACAACCCAGGCTCAAGACCCCTAAACCCGGGTCACTCATCTGCGTGACAAATTCCGCCCAGCGACTCGAACAGGTGCAGCAGTCTTCCGAAGACAAGGACCAGTAAGTGCCAACACCGTAAGACCACGTCTAAGAGAAGTAGGACTCCGTGCACGACGACCTTATGTTGGAGCTATCTTCAGGTGTCGTCACCGTCAGCGGCGTTTGATATGGGCTCAAGGACACCAGACATGGTGAAGAGTAGACTGGCAAAGTGTGCTCTTCAGTGATAAGAGTCGCTTTCATCTTTATCACGCTGATGGCCGTCAACGTCTTGGGGAACGTCTTGCAGACTACTGCGTCTTCCAAACGAATCGATGGGGTAGGGGAGTGTAATGGTGTGGGGAGGCTTCACATTTCATCACCGGACCGCCCTACACATTTGCAGGGGTCGCGTTAATGCTGTAGCCTACCGTGATGATGTCTTGCAACCAATTGTTGTTCCGATGTTTCGAGCGCACCCACAACTTCAGCACTTCCAACAAGATAAGGCACGTCCGCATACCGCCGGTTTTAGTATGGACTTACCTGGCTGCTAACAACATCAATGGCTTGGACTGGCCAGCCATGTCTCCGGACATGGCGCCGATAGAACATGTCTGGGATGAGATTGGGCGCCGTCTGTATCGGAGACCACAGATGCACACTATTGCTGCACGGGTGCGTTGAGATACTCATAGGGTTAAAAAAAAGTTCACCAAGTAATGTTTATAAATATATTCTTGAAGGAGACATGGGTGGCTTCAAATAATGGTATACATAAAAACAAATCGAATGGGCCCTTTCCTAAAACGAATAAAATTTCAAAATACCCTAAAATAGTGAAACTCAGAGACAAAATGCTCAATATATATCAATAAATGTGCATATATCTAGGACATTAGAATTATATATTTTATGTGATGATTACACATTATTAAGTAAGTAATGTTTTATTGCTGAAAGTTACGTAACTTATATCAAATACAATGAATAAATAAATAAATATTTAATGTAAAGGTGATAATGATACAAATAGTACAGAACAAGTTAGAAAAGTATGTACAGTTCTAGGGAAGAATAGCTTCGTGAATAGACTGACGTTTAATCTATTCTATCTATCTATATATATACTATTCAAAAAAAGTAGGGGATATTTGATTTTTAAGTGTTATTAAAGTCATCTAATGAAACTGACGAAGAAACAAATGACAAAATGAAATGAAGTTCTCACATTCATCGATTTATTCCAAATGATCGTTAGACTAAGTAAGGCACAGACTGACCATTATAAGGGTAAAATGATACCCGGGGTCAAACAGCAAAGTTACCACAGCATCACAACCAAGTCAGTAACGGGTAAATCCTCCTCTGTTTGCCAAACAAGCATTGATCCGACGTGGCATACTCCTAATGAGACGTCTAAGGTCATTTTGGTCCAGATTGTCCCATTCCTGTTGCAACGCAGCAGCAAGTTCTTGGACATTGGCAGGACGTTGTTGACGTTGACGTAACCTCTGTCCAAGCATGTCCCAGACATGCTCGATGGGGGAGAGGTCTGGACTCAGTGCTGGCCAAGGTAATGTGGTGATGTTCTGTTGTTGGAGGTAACCTGTAACGATCCTGGCCCTGTGACATCTTGCGTTGTCATCCTGGAAGATGAAACGGCGGCCATGACGTCGTGCGAACGGCACAACATGGACTGCCAAGATGTTGTCCCGGTAGTACTGGCCTGTAACACGCCCTGCAACAACATGTAAAGCCGTTCTTCCAGCAACAGTGATGCCTCCCCACACCATAACAGAACCACCCCCAAATCGATCATGTCTGATGACGTTAACGTCTTGGAAGCGCTCGTTTCGACGACGCCACACCCTCCTACGTCTGTCCAAAAAATCAACAGTGAACCTTGACTCATCTGAAAACATCACATTGCTCCAGCGTCGATTATCCCAGTGTTGACGATCCCTACACCAACGACGTCTTGCCTGAATGTGATGATCTCTCAAACAAGGGATCACGCGAGGACGTCGGGCGCGAAGGTGACCCCTATGCAGTCGATTCCGAATCGTCTGGCCACTCACTCTCACACCAGTGTCTGTTTGAAGACGAGCGCTGATCTGATTTGCTGTGATGACACGATTTCTCAAGGCCAAGGTACGGATAAATCGATCCTGGGCTTGAGTTGTCGACCTGGGCGTGGTCTGTCCTGTACAGATTGTGTATCACGGTATCTGGACCATAGCCTGCTTATGACAGACTGAGAAACATTCATCGTCCGCGCCACAACCGCCTGTGTTGTGCCGATCTGTAGCATGCCAAGGGCACGTAACCTTTCATTTTGGGTAAGCCGACGCATATCAAAATTTGTTTTCTGGGCACTAAAACAATTAAACTGATGTTTCCACCCTGGAATTCAATGCCACAATGACTGTAACATTCAAAGTCAGAGTCGTGCAAATCTTGGGTTGGACCCCCATGATGATCCCAAGCATCACCTGCATTCCATGCGGTAGCTATTGGTGCATTTGGGCGTCACATGTAACTGGAAATGTTTCTTCTGTTAGGTTCTATAGTGACTTTTTTCGTAGTCATTTGCATATTTTAGTATTATGCCCCCAAAATCAAATATGCCCTACTTTTTTTGAATAGTATATTTGTGACTGTCGTTTGTCTGTCTGTCTGTTCGGGGTTGGCGGCTACACTAGGTCTGCCCCGAGTCTGAAATTTGGGGTATAGGGTAAGCTCGGACCGGGGAGTAACATAGGCCAGGTGGCGTTAGTCTACCACTTCCGGTTTCGGAGTTATGACCCCCGAGCGAAGCCGGTCTGTTCGGGGTTGGCGGCTACACTAGGTCTGCCCCGAGTCTGAAATTTCGGGTATAGGGGTAGCTCGGACAGGGGAGTAGCATAGGCCAGGTGGCGTTAGACTACCACTTCCGGTTTCGGAGTTATGACCCCCGAGCGAAGCCAGTCTGTTCGGGGTTGACAGCTACACTTGGTCTGCCCCGAGTCTGAAATTTGGGGTATAGGTCTAGCTCGGACCGGGGAGTAACATAGGCCAGGTGGCGTTAGTCTACCACTTCCGGTTTCGGAGTTATGACCCCCGAGCGAGTCCGGGTATCCTGCTGGTAAATGATAAATGTATATATTTTGCTAATGAGTTTAAAATAACTGGTGATGTGGAGGACATAATATCTATAAATTTTTGGAGTGAAGTGCGATTTCTATAATAAAAAGGAATAAGCTGTTCTCTTAAATCTTTATATAATGGATATAATGTCGCGAACAGTATGTTACTACACATTGTAGCAGTTTTCTCCATAATTTTGCCCCGTTTATAACTTCCCCCTATCCACAGTTTCTTAAAATCGGTATGTACAGATTCTGATGTTTGTTCGCTTCAATAGCCTAATCCCTTCACTGACAGTCCCTCCTTTGTTTTGTTGAGGGAACAAGAGCTGCTGGGCCTCTGAAGCCTTCGGGGGGCGACCGAGGGGAAAGGTGCTGATTTAGTCGCAGCCTTCCCGAGCCCTTCGATGATAGGATTGTCTTTCGCAACTTCACAAATTGCACAATTACAAATTCTGAAAGGCATTTGGTTAAACCTGGTACCCACGGAAGGCAAAACAACTTGAGAGAAGTCAAAAGGCTCCGGTAGATCGTCGATATTATTCTCCCCCTGTTCAATTTTCGGGTTAGAATTTGACATCGTCCACATATTGCTGAGGGGAAACGATATAGTATATTTTGATGCTATCGAACCTTTTCGAAAACACGCAATACATACTTTGTATCTATTTTCCTTGTGTGACAGCGCGTCTTTCGGCATATCTGACAGTAGTAAGTTGGGCTTGTTATTATATAAATGTACAAAATGTAATACTGCAAACAATTATATATAAGTTGGGTCAGCCAGGAAACTTTTGTGATACTCACGCAAGCCAGAAAACATATATATTAACCCGGTGAAGAAGCTATTTTTGGAGAGCAGATTCCGCACCTAAATGTAGACCGCGCCTAGCTGTAGCTCTCATATGACACTATAGGTGAATGGGGGTGTCAGTCCGGAATATTTTATGATATCAACAATTATTATTCCGAATCCCAAAAATCGGACCAGACGTTGAAGGCCCTGGTAAGGCTTCGATTCACAATTCCTATTGTGATATGATATATTTATTTTGGTCAATGCCCCCTAGGCCCTTCGTATTTTAATATATGGCTAAGAATTGACTCTCCGGTAGATAATATCGATTTTGGACAAATAGAATCGTTTTTGAAATGGACTCTGTGTATTCTTTATTGTAAAATTATATGCAGGGGTCGCGTTAATGTTGTAGCCTACCGTGATGATGTCTTGCCGTCTGTATCGGAGACCACAGCTGCACACCATTGCTGCTTTTTTAGATGCTCTTGTCCAAGAATGGAACAATTTGCCCCAGACCTTCTTTCAAACATTGGTAAATTCCATGCGACGTCGCTGCACAGCGTGCGTAAGAGCCCGTGGAGGACACACGCGCTACTGACATCTGTGTCGCTGTGTCGTACTTTTGGTTTTGACCCCTCTGACTTTGTACCGTTGATTACAGATTAAACATCCATAAGTGTACAAATGTATTGTTATTGATGTGTTCCCATTTGAATATTATTCACAATAAGAAGCAAAATAAATAAGATATGTTTACAGGATCATTTTGTTATACGAAAAACTAAGTGATGCGTTTTCCATGGCGCTCAGTATATATTACCCATTACAATGTATCCTCTTTAAGGATGTTTCATAAGTATTGCTTTCTATTTTTTTAAATATAAGAATAAGAACCATCGTCGGTGCCAGATCAATTTATTAAGAAAAATACAATTTCTTAAACTAGATCAGTCGTTTATTGATCTTAGTTGTTCATTGAAATGAAATGAAATGAGGTTTAACGTCCTGCTGTTCTGCTCCGAACTGGGCTAATGAAGACGGGTCTACGCCATACAGTGTGCTATGAGGGAAATTTTGCCTGGACAGCGGCACTACGGCCTACTCTTATATGGAATTCCAACTGTAAAGGGATCTTTTACGTGCATTCCAATGTATACATGGAAATCTCGGTTTTTCGTCTCATCCGAACGACTAGACAGCTGTCGTTGTTAGGCCCTCCGTCCTGCATCACTGACACGGGGTACCCACGCTGGAAAATCTGGATGAACTTTCTCGGCCAATGCAGGGATCGAACACCCGACCTCCAGGCTAGCGAGCCAGCGTCTTACCCACTTAGCCATGTTCATTGAAAGTGAAGTTTTCAGTGACATGATTATTACAGAGAATACCTTACGTATATCGAATTACTAATTGCTGTGTCATTCTCTTTGATTTTCTTGAAACGCTTATCGAATTCTTACAAACCTTTCAAATCTGCGAAAATGTAATGACGCGTACCTCTTATGCTACCAGAATCAGAAATCATTTACCTTTCGTTAAAGCTGACATAAAATGCAATTTCAGATAATGTAACAAGATTTATCCTTCAAATTATTTTGTCAAAATGGTATTTAAGTAAAAGCTGCCATTCATTTGTCCTGATTTTGTTTAAAGCAATGTACATTTTATTATTTAGCTTTAGATGCATGTTCTGCAGCAGCTACCCCATGTGTAAACACATTTACTGTTTTACAATCTTCAACAAGTGCTACTGATGTACATCTCATGTGCGGGTATGTCCACAATAATTTATAACCTTAGTTTTAATGATGGACAATGTGGTATATATTTTTTAATGCTATGTATTATATAGTGTTCTATGAATTAACATAATTAAAGGCAGGGACGTGGTGAGTGGGTTTGTTAGATGAAGGGCAGAATTTTGACCTCGATATTGATGGTTAGAAATTTAGTTATCCCTAGTTGTCTGATGTGTCAAAGACCAAGAAGATATCAATAGAAAGTGATGTGAACTCGTACATGGACAACACCCACAGACGATCAATGAGATAACCATGTGTGCCTGTATTCTGCACAACCTCATTCTTCAAAGGTACTCATTGGCGACAACAGATGTTGACAATGAAGATCAAGTAACACACTACCTTCGGCCTGGTTCATGGAGGGACAGTGAGCAGATGGAAGGTCTGAAGTCTTTGTCTGGACGCTTCTACCAGAAAAGCAAATAACTAAGGGAGTACTTATCCTACTACTACTCATCATCAGCTGGTGCATGGCAAGAGAAATTGGTCAACCCCTGAAATGTGTAGAACTTGAGAGTAGTATCAAAACAGATATCAAAACCCAGTGAAGTTGTGAGATAATGTCTCTATAACAATTTATCAATATTTTAATAAACACTGTTCTTTGCCATTCGATTCATGTGTTGTTAATACCTATTTAGTTCAAAGTGTGTGAACATTATCTGGTCTCGTTGCAATAGGGTCATTGTATACATTTGTTATTGAAAGGTAGATTACAATACTGTTATTTCTCACAGAGATAATATATGATTATATATATTTGATAACAAGAACAAAGTCCAGTAAAAAGTAATAAAACTTTTATTAAAATAACATACAAAATAAAATCAAACTGCAAACTCAACAGTTTTCATAATACGAAATTAAGAAATAGCACCAAGTAAATAAGACTGAACACAAACAGAGCATTCTGAAATGAGATGGAAATCACATGAACCTGGTTATTTATACAAAACGTTGTGAAAACGTGGAGGCCTCTGATTGGTGCGGCGTCTGTGAGTGAAGAAAACCTGCCAATGAGTATATGAGAGTAAACTATGAGCACCAGTGAGTAAATTATAGGGGCGGGAAGAATTCCTGACCACTGGCAGATACCTACATCAACCCATGAGCACCATTGCTGATCTTCTCGTACCAGTGATGAATCTTGCGCACCAATGCGTGACAGTTCGTGACATATTTTCCATTGACACTTGCACGCACCGGGTACGCATAGTTTGCGAAAATGGCACGCCCTGGAGTGCGTGGCATGAGCTTGGACAAATCCAAGGTTTTGGGCAATAAATAATAATAATATAATAATGAGGTTTTATATAGCGTCTACTCCATGTTAACACATGCTCAAAACGCTTTTTGTAATGGCTCTACTGGTAAAACTGTCGAAACAGGAAAGTCTTTAGTGCGGATTTAAATTGATTAAAAGTTTGTTGATTCTTGATCTGTTGTGGAAGTTCGTTCCATAATCCAGGACCAGCTGAACTGAAAGACCTATACCCATATGACTTTAAATTATATCTTGGAACAACTAGTGACTGTTTATTTTGAGAGCGAAGTGATCTAATAGGGCTGTAGTCATATAAGAGTTCAGATAAGTATTGAGGAGCTGCATTATTGCGACATTTATACAATAATGTTAGTGTTTGTATTTGACTCGCGCCTCAGCAGGTAACCAGTGTAAAGAAGCCAGCACATTCTGGATGTGATCAAACTTATGTGTCCTTGTTATTATTCGGGCTGCAGTATTAAGAACCTTTTGGATCTTGGCTAGAAGTGCTTGTGGGATTCCACAGAGTAAACTATTACAATAATCAATCCTTGATAAAATCAGTGATCTCACAAGTAGTTTACAAGCGTCAGCAGTGAGATAGTTTCTGATGTTGCATATACAGCGTAGATGATAGTAGCATGTACGGCATACCTGAGCGTCCATTGTCAGAGAAGGATCAAATATCACTCCAAGGTTTCGAACATTTTTGGAGAAATGTATTTCTGAATTACCAATGGTGATTTTAAGATCAGGTAGTAACTTGAGTTGTTGTGATGAACCTACTAAAAGAGCCTCTGTTTTATCGTCGTTCAATTTTAGTTTGATCGCTTTCATCCACTGTTTAACTGCCAGCGAACAGTCAGTAGTTTTTTGTAAGGCATTTCTGATTAGCATAGGACTAGACACACCAATGAGTTGAGTATCATAGCCATCGATCACAGACCCTAAAGCGGTTGTATAAAGAACAAAGAAAATGGGTCCTAAAACACGGCCTTGCGGTACGCCACAGTCAAGTTTAAACGGTAGAGATTTAGCCTCACCAAGTAGAACTGTTTGATGTCTATTACTAAGATATGATGTGATCCATAAAAGCGGTGTACCGGAAATCCAAAACTGGTTTTTAAGTCTATTGTATAGAATCTGATGGTCCACAGTGTCGAACGCTGCAGATAAATCCAAAAGAGTCAAAGATGCTACATTCCCTGTATCCACTGCACACTGTAGGTCGTTGAGGACCCTCAACACAGTGGTCTCAGTGCCATGGTGGGGTCTGTAAGCAGACTGAAACTTATCCAACAACTCATATTTCGAAATATAGGATTGAAGACGAAGATTGACAGCTCTTTCCACAATTTTGGAAAGGAATGACAGGCTGGATACAGGTCTATAGTTTTTGAAAATATTGGGATCAAGAGACTCCTTTTTTATTAGTGGTCTCACCACCGCCTGTTTAAACACCGATGGGAAACATCCAGTACTTAAACTTAAGTTGACTAATAAAGTAATAACAGGAAGCAGAATGTCTAGAAGTTGAATGAGTAGCTTGGACGGTATCGGATCAAGTGGACATGTCGTTTTGTTGGCGGATTTGATGATCTTTAAAATGTCATTCTGACTAAAACTCTCAAACTCGTTGAGTGACACGACACCAGTCAAGTTCACGGGTGTACACGTATTTGTATCACTAAGGACTCCATGATCAGTAAACTCCTTTCTAATTTTGTCAATCTTCGAGGCAGAGAAAGAGTTTGCCAATTTCTCGCAATCCTCTGAATGTGGCTGAGTGGCTGTGGATTTGGTACCAAGCAATGATTTCATGAAGGAATGACACTTATCAATAGAGTTGACATCTTCAGTCAGTTTTTCAAGACAGTAGCGTGACTTAGCCTCTCTGATAGTTTTAGATACTCTGGCTCTTTCATCGTTATATAATTGCCGATGTACCTCAAGATGAGTAGACCTCCATTTCCGTTCAGCCAAACGACGACTTTTCTTTGCATCGCTTACCTCGGTGTTATACCAGTTAATACCAGGTCGAGGTATAATCTGTCTTGTAACGACAGGATGGTGAGCAGCGTCGTGTTGTACAGGACAGCAAGGTCCTCTGGATCTTGAGGAGGGTTACAAACTAGGTCAGATGGAGCAAGGTCAGCGCGGAAAGAATGGGACGCATAGTTTACGACTGTTTCCCGCGATGGTACGCATAGTTTCCGTCTTGGTACGAACTTTAGCGTACCACGATTGCGTGAAAGTGTCAATGGGGCATATCCCTATAGATACTTAGCGTTCCGATTCAGAGTTATGCCCCATTGACACTTTCACGCAATCGTGACAGTGCCGACCCAAAACCTTGGATTTGTCCAAGCTCATGCCACGCAATCCAGGGCGTACCATTTTCGTAAACTATGCGTACCCGGTGCGTAAAAGTGTCAATGGAAATTATGTCACGCACTGTCACGCACTGAGGGGTACTCAATGTCACGCATTGGTGCGCAAGGTTCATCACTGGTACGACAAGATCGGCAATGGTGCTCATGGGTTGATGTAGGTATCTGCCAGTGGTCAGGAATTCTTCCCGCCACTTGACGTGTGTCACTCATTGGTGCTCACAGTTTACTCATTGATCCTCACAGTCTACTCACTGGTGCTCATAATTTACTCACTGGTGCGCATAGTTTACTCTCATATACTCATTGGCAGGTTTGCTTCACTCACAGACGCCGCACCAGCTGATGATGAGTAGTAGTAGGATAAGTACTCCCCTGTGGGTGTTGTTGCATGGTAGTAGAGAAACACCTGAACCTGAAAGGATAATATAAAATATATAGTAATTACAGATTCAAAGCTATTACAAAGCTATACAAGGTTATAAAACATATCAACATGCTTACCTTTGAGACAAGATCCCAAATGCATTCTCTACAACACGCCGAGCACGAGACAACCGGTAGCTGTCAATGAGCTCCCTTTGATCCAATGAACGGTGTGAGTAGGGTTTCATGAGCCATGTTTTCAGTGCAAAGGCGTCGTCGGCAACAAAGTGGTAGGGGACAGGCCTGTCATCATTGGGTAGGGACGCGGGTGGAGGCAGTATGGCCCTCTTGTTCTCAACAGCTTCATGTAACGTACAGTTGCTTCATGTTCCACCATCAGAAGCTCCACCTTCCGTTCCAACATCAAGGTACAGAAATTGGTACCCAGCATCAAGCACTGCAAGAATCACGATGCTATGAAAGTTCTTGTAGTTAAATTAGAAGGATCCGCCCGAGGGGGGGTTCTTCATAGCAACATGCTTGCCGTCAACGGCTCCAGGACAGTTGTGGTAATTTCATCTGCTACTAAAACCTTCAGCAATAGTCTTCCACTGGTCTTCTGTTCTAGGACAAACTATTACTTCTGGCTTGTAGGCCTTGACGATAGCTTTACATACTTCTGGTAGAAACTTGCATATAGTGCTAAGTTCAACTCTGAAATTGTATTGGAGACTTGCATAGGAATCGCCACTGGCTAAGAAGCGGAGTGTGATTGCCAACTTCAAGAGGTTCTCTCATAAATGTTTTATTCGTCTTCAGGTGTGGGGTCAACTTTTCAATCATCTCTTGAAACAGTTCGGGGGTGATATGTAGGAAGTTCCGGTAACCTCTGCGATCTTCCTTGTGTAGTTCCGACAATAACTGGTCATAATGGCCAATATGTTGTCTCC